CTGCGCAGCCAGCAGCGGCAGACCAGCTCAGAGAATAAGGAGCTGCGCAGGACAAACCGAGAGCTGGAGGGGCAGCTGGAAAGGATCCGTGCTCAGCTGCAGGAGGCGCAGAGCCGTGTCCGGGACATGCGCAGCTCCGTAGCACAGCACCAGCCCAGATTCCCTGCTGCGGTAGAGGCGCGGTGAGACCCCCAATCCCAGGACACACACACATGTGCAGAATGATTGAACCTGAGAAAAAATCTTTTGGATTTCTGTGCCACCTATAGTACAGATTCAGAAATATTGGTGCGTCTGTACAATGCTTGACTTTGCAAGACATCAAGGAATCCTATTACAAAATTGAGCTAATTATTTACTAAATGAGACATTTAACCACAGCAAAATTGTGAAATTACTCAGAAATTCAATTTAGTTCAGTGAAATGCTCTGTTGTGTAACAAGGGTCTGGGAAGCCCAGCCTTTAATAGACCCCCACTCTGCTCCAAAGAGAAATCAGAAAGCCTCAGGGTGCGACTGTCTGTCCTCAGAGGTGATTATAGATAATGGATTTTTATTTAAATATGGCGTGGAAAAATGTTTTCAACTTCTAAAGATGCCTACATTCTATCTGCCTCAGGGATGCTGAGCAAAGCTTCAGGGAGCTGAAGACAGCGTCCAGACCGGAGGTAACGTAGTGTCGTTCTATCTGTAACTACTGTGAGAAGAGCAGGACAGGGTCGTGTTGTCTGACTGAGTGTGGCCTCTGCAGTTAGGAGGGTGAGGGGGAGTGACATGGGAGAGATTTTAGGATGTAATGCTATCAGAAAACAGCAGGAGGAAGGCTAAACATGTGCTTGGAAAAGGCAAATTTTGTTTCACTGTAACATACATAATAATGATCTTATTGAAAGAACGATACTTATTTACTTGTTCCAGTATTGCATTTTACGAGTTATGCTTTCCTTGTATAATGCAGTGAATGATGAGTTACCTAGCTTTGTGGAATTATATTGCCACCTGGTGGTTGAAGTGAAAATATTACTGCCACGCAAGTAGTGAAGCTAAAGCGTGCAGTTAAACAGGTGGAACAGCCTTGTGCACTGAGCAGAGCTGTCTGGCACCCGGGCTGCTGGGAGTGCTGGGGGTCTTACCAGATGGCTGAGGGAACAGCTGCCTGCACAGCAGCTGTCGGCTGTGCACATCTGCAGCAGCTCCTTCCTGCCATACAGACCTGTGTGTGCCTGCGCTGCCTCACAAAACCACACGGATGTGAGAAAACACACTGACTGCTACTCATTTTAAAATCTACAGCCAGTTGAGCCAAATCTATTTTTATTTAAAGCCGACACTTGTTCACACACTTGTTATCACAGCAGGCTGACAAAATATAAACGATTTTTCAAAAATAGAAATATGCACAGAGTGATGTGATGTGACCAAGGTCACTGTCTATTTACTGTATAGGTCAGTGCAGTAGCTTCAGTGACTAGTGTGCCCTTTAGTGAAGTAGGAGCCTGGTTATTTGCAATTATAAGATCAATGTCTAAAACCTTGGTGTTTAACTCCCATAAAAACTGCAAAGCCACTTTTTTTCAGTTTGTGTAACATTGTCCACTGTCCAAGAGTGAGTCTTTTGGAGAAGTTCGGATGCAGACCTGCCAATGTAAATTGTGCACTGAGCAGAGCTGTAAAAGCTGCTGAAGCCACAGGGAGTGTTTTCACTTGGGTGGTGGGGGGCAGTGGTTTTCAGGAGGGGTCGGGGCACTTTCACCCTTATCACTGAAAGAGCAGGGCCGAACTCTCCTGAGCAGAGCATCAGGGAGACACCCAGAAACGTGAATCTCCTGGGAAAAATAAACAGAGGATAGTCAGTTCTGCAGGAGTGCTCCCAGGGGTAAGCGAAGGCTGTTCTACCATTTTGTGTCTTTTTCCCAGATGGCAGATTCAAAATGCACAGTTTGGGATGAGAAGGAGTCATCCTGCAGGAAGCCAGCAGAGCTGCTGAGAGCCGGTTCGGAGCTGGGGAAATACCTGGCACAGGAGCCCCCTGCAGGGTGAGGAGGAGACTGCATTTGGGTTTTTAAAGGGGTCTTTGCAGCTGGGTGCAGTGACCGTTTTCTTGCACAGCCCCCAGCCCATGTGTAGCTCAGATCCCCAGACTCTGCAGGGTGTATAGACACCCTTCACCCTGATGTCCTTCCTTTGGCATGGGGTGGTGACTGTTCAAAGCCGGGGTCCATCTTCTTGTGCGACATGTGGAAAGTGGAATGTGGACTCAGGACGATCTGAGTCTGTCCTGTGCTGACAAAATAGGAACGCTACTACACTCACTACCATTAGTATGTTGCAGTAGCTGTACTTCTAAAACTGTTACCTATATTCTAGGCCTTCAGCAATGATTTGTATCCAATATCCAATGATCATGTGAAAATACATTGAACTACTCATCCTCCCGAACATGTAAAGTAGTTCTTTAGACACAAGGTGCTAGGACATTCCACTCACTGGAATCACTGTGTAAGGTGAGCACAGAAAGACTGCACTGGGCTGTTGACTGTTAGTCCAATTTTGTAATACGTTACAGAGCCTTATGCATTGTTAAAAAAGCTAGATGCTTTTAAAGTAAGAAATGGCACCAAATCCTTTCAGACTGCACTGATGTTCTCAAGGTTTGCTAAGGAGGACACTGTGTTTGGGGAAGCTGGATATCCATGAATGTCCATATGAAAGAGTCTGACAGTGAGACAGATTTACATAGTTCTCTGCCTTTCTCTCTCTGCAGCAGGCCTCCTGATGTGAAAGTTCCCACAGACTGGACATCAGGACACCGAACGCGAGTGATCTCGATAGAGGAAGATCCTCTGCCTGACCTGATCGCGCAGAGCCAGACAGGCAGGCTGCTCGAAGGGGAGGTACTCTGGGAGGAAGAGGAAAAGAAGGCCAGGGAGGAGGAGAGAGGGGCACAGAGTAAGGAAGAAGAGAGCGGAAGGAGAGAGACAGAGGAGAAAAACCCGGAAACAGTGGGAGAGAACAGAGAGAGAGAGAAGGGGGAAAGCAGAGAAACAGAGGAATGTCTGCACAGCGTGACAGAGGACGAGAGAGGACAGAGAAAGGAGGATGAAAGAAGAGGGGAGGAGGAGAGGGAGGCCGAAGAGAAAGGGGAGCGAGACAAAGAAAGCGTTGAGGGTGAGAGCAGAGAGATGAAGGATGGGCAGATTATGAAGAGAGGAGAGGAACCAAGAGAACGAGAGGGAGGGTGTAGATTACAACCAGAGACTGAGGAAGTGGAAGCAGAGGGAGACAGACAGGAAGAGCAAACATTCAGGCTGATGAGGGAGATCAGAGATAAGGAAGGATTGTGGAGAGAGCCGAGAGAAGCAGGCTTCACACAAAATGAAACGCAATCTAGTGCGGCTAAGGAGGGCAATACAGATAAGACAGGAAGAGGAGAAGGAGAGGCAGATGGGCCAGGGGTCGAAGACAGAGAAACAGACAAGATGGAGATTGAAGAAAGTGAGACAGAGAGGTCAGAAGACCAAGAACAGGAGACAGAAAGGTCAGAGGGAATGGAGTGGAAGATAGACAGCCCAGAGGCTGAGGGTGTTGTGCACGAAAGATCCGAGGATAAAGAAACAGAGATTAAACAGTCAAAAGTCAAAGATGTTCGGGGAGAGGGATCAGTGGTCATAACAGAGCTGGAGAGGGAGGAGGCTGAGGAAAATGAAATCCAACAGACAAAAGAGAGCAAGACGGTAATTCTCAAAGAACCGCTCAGACATGCAGACATGCAGGACACTCTGGGGGAGAGGCTGGGGAGGCAGGGGTTTCTGGAACAGCAGGAAACAGAGACTCAGCCAGAGGAAGGTGAGAAGGAGACTCAGGCTCAGGGAGAGGAGCTGGATAGGGAAGCTGTCTTGGAAAGGGAAATATTAGGAGGAGACAGGGACATTGGAAGGGAAGTGGAGTTAAATGAGGAGAGAGAAACTGCAGAATCAGTTAGCCAGAGAGACAAGCAAGTGGAAGAACATGAAGAAGAGATAAGAAGTGAACAAGTGGGAGCAAAAGATAAGGATGAAATATTGGAAGAAGACGGATTAGACAGGGATGGTGTGATTGAGGAAGACAAGACATTTTGCCCAGAGAGAGGGACTGAGGAGAAATGGGATGAGAAACAGGAATTCACTGAAGATGAAGACTGGACAGAAGATGAAGGGCTGTTTGAGAAGGAACAGATCCCAGGTGAAGAGGAGGACATCTTCTGGCACATTGGGGGAGGAATGTTAGGACCAGAGAAAGAGATAATTGAGATACTGGGAGAGGACCTGTACCCCATACTAGAAGAGGATGAGAATGAGGAAGATTATATAGGAGAGGGTGAGGTTGCAGGGCAGCTATCTGATACAGAGCTGGAAAAAGGGAGATTAAAGGAAAAGCAGCAGGAACAGATAGAAGAAACAGAGGCTGACACAGGAAGAGAACTGGAACGAGAAAGTTCAGATAAATGCAAAGAGCCACAACTGGGAGAGACAGAGGTCACACTGGAAGAAACACAACCACAGGAAAGGGACAGCACTGCAGCAGAAGGAAACAGTGACACAGCACAGGAAAAAGAGGATCGACTGGACAATCAGAAAACCAGGCTGAAGGAAGAGGAATCGGAAGGAGTGACTGTTAGAGGGAGAGAGGCAAGAGAGAATAAAAATGAGGAAGGAGTAGAGGAATCTAAGAATGAGGAGCTCAGGGGTCATGATGAAAAAGCAGCAATTCTGGGAGATGTTCAGGTAGAGGAATATAACACAGATTTTAAAGATGA